CACTCCTGATTACCAAGGGGGCAAGGCTGGATTCTGATCTCTGCTCCGTGGGGTCAATCCAGAGTCACTCCTAACAGCAACGGGGACAGGGCTGGGTTCTGCTCTCAGTCCCCTGGGGTCAATCCGGAGTCATTCCTGATTGCAATGGGGGCAGGGCTGGGTTCTGATCTCAGCTCCCCTGGGATCAATCCGGAGTCATTCCTGGTTGCAATGGGGGCAGGGCTGGGTTCTGATCTCAGCTTCCCAGGGGTCAATCTGGAGTCATTCCTGATTGCAGTGGGGGAAGGGCCGGGTTCTGATCTCAGCTCCCCTGGGATCAATCTGGAGTCACCCCTGAATGCAATGGAGTTAGGGACGGGTTCTGCTCTCAGCTCCCCTGGGGTCAATCCGGAGTCACTCCTGACAGCAACCGGGGTAAGGCTGGGTTCTGATCTCAGCTCCCTCTAGCTACCACATTAGACCGGATCAGAGTAATTAGTTAATTAAGTGTCTCAGATTCCTGACCGAGATTGGGGCCCGTTGCGCCGGGCGCTGCACAGACCCTCCCATCCGAGATCGGGCCCCCATCACGCCGGCCGCTTGTCGTTCCAGGCAAAGGGGAGGCGCGTGCTGCCGGTGGACGAGGGGCGGAAGGAGAGCTACAGGGACACCATGCCGCAGAATTACAGAGCTCTTCTGGCCTTGCCTAGGGACCTGGCCACCCGCCGAGCTGGGACGAGCTCGTTTGGGTCTTGGAGAACCGAGAAGGTCTTTAACCCTGTGATGGCCCCACATTCAGACACTTCCAACGTGCTAGGGACTGTGGGGACCATCTGGTTTGGCCTCCTGCCTAACCCAGGCCAGACGTCGCACTGGGTGATTCCTCCATCCAGCCCATATCTGATGGCTGAGCTAGACCGGAGTTTTCAGAGAGACACCCCACCCCGGTGACAGGCCTCTGAGAGATGGAGAATCCATCACATCCCTGGCTAGGTCCTTCCAATGGTATCCCACCATCCTCCTCTGCCCCACTGACTCCAAGGGAGCAAGGGCCCATTGGCCCCAGTTGGGGTCTGGCCCCCTTGACTCCAATAGAGTGACACCCCATTGACCCCAGCAGGGGATCTGGCCCCATTGACTCCATCGTCTCCCCATCTTTCTCCCCAGGCTTCCCCCTCCCCAAGACCGACGTGAGGTGGATGGAGCGAGGGGAAGAGCCGTGGGGCCCTGATCTCCCCTCCCCCGAGGCTGGGGGGACCCCCGGTGAAACCCACACAGGTGAGGCATGAGGGAGACCCCTAAGGGGAAGGTCATAAGTGGGGCCCTTCCAAACTGTGTCCCCTGACACTCGCTGGAACTCTGGGAGGGGAGTGGAGTCTGGTCGTTAGAGGAGGAGGGGCTGGGAACCAGGACGCCTGGGTTCTCTACCCAGCTCTGGGAGGGGAGTGGGGTCTAGTGATTAGAGCAGGGGGGGCTGGGAGTCAGGACTCCTGTGTTCTACCTTCACTTTCAGTTCTTCTTCGAGCGATGTTCCCTATTGTTATCCATTAAGGGTTGACGCGTTCTCTGGCCCCAGATAATTTGAAAGTAGTAGTGTCCACTGGTCCGCGCATGCGCCCTTCCTTCGCCTCATGGTGTCGTCCGAGGCCATAAAGGGCGGGGTGGACCGACCGCACCTCCCGTTCCTTCTCCACTGCTTCATGGTCGGAGCCGGAGCCGCTGCTGTCCTCGCGTCTCTGACCCGTGGTAGAGTTGTCCAGAGTTCGTTTCATTCTAGTTTCTGCTGTTCTTCGTGGCGTTGAGCCTTGAGCAGTAGTTCTTAGGAGATGAGAGACTTTGGGGACCCCCGTTTACCAGCCCCCCCACCCCCCCCCCAGCACCTGCGCCTGTGTACTGGATTATGCCGAAGACGCCGGGGTTCGAGGTCTGCGCTGCCGGCCCGTGTTCATTCTCGTATCAATGCCGCCTCTCCTGCTTGGGGGAAGCCCACATTGCATCCAGGTGCAATGGCTGCCTCTCCTCCCAGCCGGACCCGGGAAGGCCGGGCTCTTGGCCTCAGCAAGCAACTCCCGGGGGGTGCCATGAGGCCGCCGTCGGACCCAGCCGGGCAGCCCCTGAGAAACCCAGGAGCGCGCCTCTGACAGCGGAGATCGGGTCCGGGTCTGGGGGTACCACTGCTATGCAGGCGCCTAGCCTGGATGCAAGGAAGCAGGCGCGTAAGCACAGCAGTAAGTCTTCCTCCAGGCCTAAGGAGACGATGCGCCTTCCATGAGTTCCTGCCCCGGAGAAACGGCGCCTTCCCAGGCTCACAAGCAGGACAAGAAATCGTGTAGGCCGGGGGATCCGCTGGGACGAAGCCCCGAGCCGCACACGCCTTCCCTACCGGCCCGACTTCAGTTAGGGGAACTGTTGGTTTCGAAATAGTCACACCGAGGAGTTGAGAGACGGCGCCGGAGCCACGTGAACTCTTTGCCCTTGAGGAACCGAATTCTGCACGTCTCCTCTGCCGTCTTACTGGCTCCAGCCCAGGACGTACCTCGGTCCAGTCGTGGTCTCACTCCCCGTTCCCCTATGGTGTATACGGCTCCACCGGTGCCGCCGTTGGGACCGGGATCCGCGTTTTCAGCCTTGGAGGAGTCAGATGGCTTTGGGCACCCTCGCGTAGGCGCTCAGAACCGGTTCTGGAGGGTGAGCCGCTCAGCTCGGTGCCGCCGGCACAGGAACCCTTCCAGATACACCTGTGTCCTCGGCTCCAGACGGCTTTTGCCTGTTCCGGGACCTCCTACGCAGGGTGGGGAGTGGGCCTAGCGCTCCTCGGGGGGGAGTGGGCCTAGCGCTCTTCATACCAGCTTGGAGTGCGGTAACAACGGACGAGCGGGTCCCAGCTGCCGTTCGACATGGCTATACGATGGAGTTCACTCACTGCCTCATCCATGTTCCCGCACCCTGATCCCTCCTCAGGGACCCCGCTCACGACAGCGTCCTCGCTCTAGCGGTCAGCTCCCGACGGCAAAGAGGAGGCGATAGAGCAGGTTCCTCCGGACTCTCAGGGCACGGGGTTCTGTTCCACGTATTTCCTGGTACCCCAGAAGAAGGTGGAGACCAATCCTGGATCCCCGTCTCCTCAGTAGCTTCATCCACAAGCCCAAGTTTCGGATGGTCACCGTGGCAGCCATCGTCCCATCTCTGGATGGTTCATGGTTCTCAATGTGCGAGATGCCTGTTTTCACGGAGACGTCCACCCAACCCCCAGAAAGCTCTTGAGATTCGCGGTGGGCCCTCCGCACTTCCAATCCAAGGTCCTACCCTTTGGACTCACCCCTGCTCCACGGGTCTTCCCCAAAGTTTCCTCTGTCGTAGCCACCCACCGCCAGCATCACGGAGTCTTTAGATTCCCCTCCCTCGACCACTGGCTGCTAGCCGCGTGATCCGAGGATGCTGCCGTTCCTCCCCTGGAGGCGAGCGTCAGTGTCGAAAAATCGACTTCGGTTCCCACGTGGTCCCTGGATATCACAGGGGCCTCCGTCGATGTGGTCTCGGCACGGGCCGACCTGGTGAGGGACAGGTTCCAGACCCTGCGGGAACTCGTCACCTGAGTAATCAATGGTCCTTCTGTTCCGGTCAGGACCTGCCTATCCCTCCTTGGCCACACGTACGTCAGTCACCATCTTCACTCGCCTCTGCCTTCGCTGTCTTCAGCTGTGGCTCCGGAGAGCCGGTTCACCCGTGCGACAGACCATGGGCTTTCTGTCGTCTCCCCCACCCCCACCGGAGGTGTTCTCCTCTCTCCAGTGGTAGACGGTCCCCAGGCATGTGATGCCTTTCCTCCCGTCCTCTCTGGACACGATCGTCACGGGCACATTGCTCGCCGGCCTGGGCGCCCACATGGGACCTGGACCTCTCGGGGATCCAGAATGCACATCAATATCCCTGCGCTTCGGGCGCGGCGGAGGCCGTGTTGCGCGGGAATGTTCGTCTGCAGCACAAGACGTACCTTCGAGCGGCAGGCAGGCGTTCACCAGGCTCCTGTCCGGACAAGTGGAAGCATTTCACCTCCTGGGCCCGACACCCCCCGACGACATGAACATGCCCCTTCTCTATGCTTGACCACGTCAGGACTTGCTCTCCGGCCCATCCCTAGCGGCTCTCAGCACCCTCCGCCCCCCTGTGCGTGGACACGCCGTCCGTCCATCCGTACGCAGCCATTGACAGCCAGGTCTGCTCCGAACCTTCCCGCCCATCACGCCCCTACGGGATCATAACCTCGTCCACACGACGTGAATGAAATCGCCCTTCCTCGGAGCTATTCCTTCCGCGAGACAGGTCGGTGAATGGGGGGCCGGGGGGGGGGGCCCCCAAAGCCTCCTGGCGCCTGTACCCCAAATTTCTCCCAAAGGTCATCCCCCGGTTTCAGCTCAACCAGGCCATCCGCTTCTTTCCGAAGCTTCCCGCCTCGGCGGAGGAGTGGTTCCTTCCCACCCTCGATGTCCGCCGGGCCCTGGCCTTCCACCTGCAGAGGACAAGACCTTTCCGGACGTCCCCTAGACTGCCCGCCCCATGATCCTTTCGGTTCTGGCGCTAAACAGTCTCCACACGGAGGGTTTCTAAGTGCATTTGGGGGGCGTTCGGCTCTATCGGTTGTCAGGACGGTCTCCACCCCGTGGGGTGAGGCCCCTTTCCTCAAGCGCGTGAGTCCCAACTACTGCCGCCCTGTGCGACCTGGCGCTTTCGGACGTATGTCGGTGTGACGGGTTCCCTGGGGTGCAGCCTGGAACCGGGGCACCGCTGAGCCCTCTGTCCCACCAGCCTGGGCTCCCTCTCACACTGGGATGCTGTGACAAGCTGCAGACCCCTCCAGATCCTGCACTCACCCAGCCAGGGACGCACCCAGCCGAGTTACGTGATTGATCTCCCAGCCACTCGTGAACTGTCAATAGAGGGGATCCAGCCAATTCGCCCCCAGCTCCCCAGCCTACGACCCCAGGGCTGTGCTGTCCTGCCCTGCTCAGAAGCCCGGCCGGTGCGAGTTCATTACCCAGTCCACCCCTCCCTCAATGCGGAGAGGACATGCACCAGCTCTTGTTCCTGAGCAGATTTCCCAGGCACTTCAACCAAAGCTCACTGCTTTAGGTAAAATGTAAAACCGGTTTATTAACTGCAGACAGACAGGTTTGAAGTGATTCTAGGTAATAAGCGCACAGATCAAAGTCGGTTTCCTAAGAAATAAATGTCAAATTGCAGCCTGAGTTCTATAAACTAGACAGGAATTGGATCAAGCAGTGTCTCACCCTGATGGTCGAGTTCCTTACTATGCAGGCTGGGATTCTCCTGTCCAGCCTCGGCCACCGCCCCAGTTCAGTCTTTGTTCTCCAGACGTGTTTCCAGGTGTTCAGTTGGAGGTGAGGGGGGGTGAGGCCAAGTGATGATGTCATTTCCCCTCTTCCAGCTCGCTGGAAAGACCCTTTGCTATGACATGAGTCAAGCAGCCTCCATTGTCCACGTGCTCCCTCTGAGAAGTCTCCATTGTATCCAGCTCCTACGCCAGTCCTTGGGAGTGTGGATTCCTTTAATGGGCCACCAGCACGTCTGGCTGCTCCATTGTTGCACCTGAAAGGCTGGTTGTGGGTGTTCCCAACCTCACAACATATTTCAGTCACACACACAGGAACAGCTCACACCATCCAACAGGGTGTTAATGTTCAACAGATCAAAACTTTTAAAGGGTTACCTCACAAGGCATGCACTGTACAAACCATATCGTAATCCCATTGTCCTGGTCAATATGGGGGTGCCAGGGTGTTGCTTTGGGGTACAGAGTGTCACAGTCGGGCGGCCATGCGGAGTTCGGCACACGCCTTGGTGCGAGGTCTCGGCGCGCCTCCATCCTCTTCCTCACACCCTCCTCCGAATTCGGTGCTGCTTGGTCATCGCCCTGAGTGGAACGCAATACAGACCATCGCTCGGAGAAGGAGAGGAGGTTACTTCCCTGTAACTGGAGGTTCTTGGAGATGTGTTGTCCCCTATTTGGATTCCAACTCCGCCCTCCTTCCCCTCTGCCGTGGAGCTGTTAGATTTGCAGTGGAGAAGGAACTGGAGATGCAGTCGCAACAGACGCTACTTTCAAATTCTCCGGCTCTGGGCGCACGGCCCTCCGTGGAATACAGATCGGGACCACCCATCTCGAAAAACCTCCAGTTACAGGTACATAACCTCCTCTTCCAGTCCTGGGGGATCAATTTGCCCTGTTCACCCCCTGATTTCCTTTCTCTCTCCCCAGCAGCTGCCGGGGCAGCCGCACCCCCGACCCACCACCGCAAGCCGGCCGGCCGCTCCTACCAGTGCCCGGAGTGCGGGAAATCCTTCCGGCAGAGCTCGCACCTCCTCCAGCACCAGACCACACACACGGGCGAGCGGCCCTACCGCTGCCCCGACTGCGGCCGGGCCTT